GCAGCTGTATCCGCCTTCGTCAAAATAGAGGATACACCGCACCAAAACCTATTTCGTCAACCAAAATGAATACACCTACCTGCCGCTCTAAGAAACGGACACAATATATATGCATATATATATAGACTTCAAACCAGCCATTACCAATGTGCTAGGTGAGCGTCAAAGGCCTTCATCGCCGTGTAATAATTATAAATCAAATCTGATGGTAGTGTTTCGCGTACTAGTGACCACCCTCATTACAGTCATCTTCCCTCCTGGATTGTCCTAGTATTGTCCACCTCACTAATAGCCTCCGGGAAGTTTCGTCCACCATCTCAAAAGCTCCAGACCCACCATTCCTGCGTGTTTGGTTCCCCGACCTAACCACCCCTCGGCTGTCCTTTAATTGGATTTAAGGTGTATGTATGTATGAGATAGTCTGAAAGTTCTGTGCGGGACCAACGGCTAACCTCGACGTGCGATGATTTGCCACCTTTATCTCATTTGTACTGCACCACACCAAGACCACATCATCACGCAGACATGACGCACACGTTATTCCCTCTTGTTCTCTGAAGCGAACATGTACATATAAAATGAAAGTTCCTTATCATTTCCTGTATACTATGAGTCACAGATATCGCCTATCGGCTGTTTTTCACCAGGCAACATTCGTTTCCTGGAGCTGACAGCAGTGAATCGGGGACTGGCTACCCCTACTCTAATATACCTGTTAAGTTGACGTAGCAGATTTCAGTTAAAATAGGGTTCTTATCTATTAACTCACAAGTTGTTGCCCGACTGCTTACTTGTGCACTTTCCCTGATCACATTAACACCCTCTTTGCGCAATGGAGACCCTATTCTCGGATTCTTTTGGTAAGCTGAAAAATACCGCCAAGTACTCACCTGTTCCAATCATTCCAACGGCTAGCCTCCTCGCTAGCTACCTCGGCGGAAATGTCCCTTCCTTTCCTAAATTAGGCACCTAATCTGGTTCAACTGGTACTTGGTTCCTCGGTCAGCAAACAAATCGTCCACCTCCTGGGTCCATTTAGCGTGTCATCATCCCCTTTTAGATTTTCCTATTGGCACCATCTTATCACCAGACGATACTGCTCTCATCTTGTTCTTTCTTACCCCCCCCTCTTCCAAGTCTTCAAACTTCGGCTACAGCTTCTCAAATGCCCCGTAAAACCGTTACTTATTCAATCTGGCTGGTCCCCGGTATAAAGGCACATGGTCCTCCAACCGAAGGGAAGTTATCCGTGACCCTCCATCGGCCTGACTCCATTTGTGTTTACCTCCCCGCCTAACCCAGATCCAACTGCCGCTGAAATACGTATCCCCTCTCCCATCACGGCACCACTGATGACCGTTACTGAACTGTCCATAAACCGAAATATGTAAGTGAAATGATGACATGGCCCTGCCATAACCAGTGTGGTGAAACACTCGCAACTAATTTCTTCAAAATCTTGACCGACACCTCCCACCAACTCGAGCCTGTAATTGCAACTATGAGCAAATTTTTCACCTGGCCCTAACCGCCTCTGGGACGAGTTCATTCTAACCCGATGAAACTTTCGTTTGGATTTGACTAATCTGGTTTTCTGCTGCAATTTCGGTTTGTCTCTGTCACAGGTTCAATTCCATACTCGATGTTCGTTTGGCCCTATACATTTGCGCCACATCTCCGTCGAATCTATCCCTTGCACTGACGTCCATACAACAACGGCAACAGCGAGTCTACTTAGTTTCAGATTTGACCGGAAAAAACTTTATATTTGCTTCTTCTTCGAATTATCCCATCTCCATCTCTATCTTTGCTGCCGCTGGCTATTCGCACAATGAGATGGATTTCTTGAAATCTACGGCATTTTCAGACTTGCCACTCCATAGCGTAGAATGTCTATGTATAGTGTATATGCTCCTGTATTATTGAAAATCCTTTACTATGGTGATTT